AAAAGAATCAAGTTGATCAAGAAAACAGGTTTCCATCCTGCTCCTGATCATGAACAACCCTTTATTTTCAGAGCACTTTTTACTTTGTATTAAAAATTCAGAGCTTTTGCAAGTGTGATTTCATCTGAATACATACAGATTTAAAATCACTAAGTTGAAAAAGCATTTTTCTATTCTGCAATTTATAAAGAATAATATAAAAATATCCATGGACCTACCCACCTACCATGCTATCTTTGCAAACTGTTAACATTTTGCTATTATGGTCTGTTGTTCCTTTTAAAATGACTGTCCTGTATTTGGTGTGTATTGTGATTTTATACTTCTGAAACATATGTATAAATCCTGAAGCAATGTATAACATTACTTGCATGTTTTAAATTTTATACAAATGCTACTATGCTGTATACAGCATTCTGGAACTTTTATTTTTTATACTTAACATAGTATGTGAGATTCATTCACGCTGATATATGCAGCTCCATCTCATTGATTTCCACTGCTCTATGGTTTCTATTGTAAAAACAACCCATAGTGTATTGATTTTTCTTGTGATGGATATTGGAGTTTTATCTAATGCCTTGGTAGGACAATTTTGCACAAATATTCATATCTTTGCTTCCTTGGCACATATAGGAGAGTCTCTCTTCCTCTGGTGTGTCCCACAAAGCAGACTGTTGGTATAATTTGGAGATTTTATTATTTAAAAAAAAGGTCTGCAATAATTGCTCAAATTTTATTCTTCATTTATGCTTTGATCTCACTATAGTGTGTGTGTGTGTGTGTGTGTGTGTGTGTGAGAGAGAGAGAGAGAGAGAGAGAGAGAGAGGGTGCCTGGGATCCTATTTCGAGAATATTATATCAGTGGAATTGATATTTTGAGATTGGCTTTGTTCACTCAACATTATACCTTCAAGAAACTTAGAATTGTTGCACACATATATAACTCATTCCTTTGTATTACTGAGTAGTATTTTCTGGAATGGATGCACCAAAGTTTGTTAAAGCATTCACTTATTATTAAACATTCTGACTTTTTCTAGTTATCTGTTTTATAAAGGAATCTGCCATAACATTCATGCACTGGGTTTGTGTGGACAAGTTTTCATTTCTCTGAGATAAACACCTGTGAGAGTAATTTCTGGGTCATATAACTCACTTCCTCTCTTAAATCAAGAAAATGATCCCTTTGTTGGATGCAGGCCATACAAGTTCTGATGTCCACGTTGCACTGCGCATTTGGGCTAAGTTTTACCAGTTACATCAATAAAGGGCTGGAATAGGGAGTAATTTCAGGAGCAGATCTGGTTCCATCCCAAAGCTGAGCAGCCCTGGTGAACGCTCTTCTTTCTTCCAGCCACAACCACGGATCCTTCTTGGGATCTGTGAGTTTGTCTGGGGCTCCTAAGTTGGGGATAACCATAGATGGGGTGAGGGGCCCAGGGGAGACACCCGAGATGGGGAGCAAGTTTATTTCTGCTAGGCCTGTCCAATCTCTCTGAAAACATAAGATGAATAACTCTTTACTGTGGAGCCACCTTCTCTGCCTGGTTTCTATGTTACCATCTAGGATCAGGAACTGTTATAATCTAGAAGCAGGTTATGGTCTCACAGTACATTTCACACCATCACAGGCACTTCCTCTTATATCGTGGGAGGTGGGGCTTCTCTGCTCTTCACAGAGCACTGAAGTCCGGGTTCTCCGCAGGAACACATTGGACAGATCAGGCTCCTCAGACCTCCAAGATGCCCACCCCTGCCTCCTGGCCCCACCCTCCTCCTCCTTGCCTGCTGCTGGCACTACTGCTGGGACTCACAGGTGAGCACTCCTTGGAGTAGAATCCCTTCACCCTGTCCCTAGACCTCTCCCTGCATGTTTAGGACCTCCAGGTAAACAGGGGTGTGCCACTTGGGGAAGCCACAGATGGCCAAGGGCTGGGCATTATCTGAGAGCATGAAATCAGGGATCTGAGCATTTCCTCTGTGGCTCCGCCACCTGCAGCTGGACACCAGGGGCTTCGAAGGAGACGATGCTTCAGACACCAACAATCATGGCTTTTTGCGTAATAACTCATGGAACCCTCACAACATCCCTGTGTGAAGCTGTGACTATTATCCCAGATTTACAGAAGGGGAAACTGAGACAGAGAGAGTACACTGCCCGATGTCACCTACCTAAGGCAGGAAACGTTGGGTTTGAGTGCAGGCCAACCAGGTCCAGGTTCATTCTTTGAACCGTGTTGTGCTACTCAGCTTCTTGGTGGATCCTAATTGCAGAAAAATCAGATGATACAGAGGAACAGTCAGAATCGTCATCACCCATCATCCCACTCAGAGATCACAGAGTTCAAACCCTGCTGTGTGGCCTCTCAAACTTTTGTCAGTGATGTGTTGGGTGGCTTCTACGTGCCAAAATTTTTACTGACCTTTTAATATGTGTTATAATTTCACTTAATCCTCAAAAGAACCCGTATAGTACAGCACTAGGCTACACTTGTATATGTACTCGACAACGTGTGCAGTCTGTGTGTGTTTGTGTGTGTGTACGACGAGGTGCGAGGAAGTAAAATAAATGCAGACACACGGGATTTCGAAAACGCTTCCTTCATGTTCTCAGCAAAGTGTTTTTCAGTCTACGTGAAATGACATCATTAGATGCTTAGTCTTTCCCGGTTTCTCAACACCCTCCCCTAATTTACCCCGACCCTCTCCCAGTTTCTTAAGGCAAGCAAATGTATGTCTTAGTAAAATGAGTAGACTTTCATGTGGGGCAATCTCGGAGTCCCTTTCCCACGCTGGACAGGACAGGATGAAAGATACAGACTCCTGCCTATGTGACCTATGTCTGAGGTTCTAGCCACACCCGTACGTATATCCAAGGTCATGAAAGCCTCCATTAAAACCCCA